GTTGAGCTCTGAGTCTTCAGTGTACAAATGACTCCTCAATCATTCCTCAAAAACATATTTTGAGATGCCAGGTATCAACCTCCCCATTTCCACACGAGGAAGCAGAGGTGCAGAAACAGGACGTGCTGCACAGCTAGTCACTAATCCACGCTCGACCCCGGCCCGTCCGAGTCCCTGCTCGTGCTCCAGCCAAGCCCACTGCCAGAACGTTGCTCAGGACCCCAAATACTGACTGCAGTCTCAGCAAGACTTCCCACATCGCCCCTTTAGCTGACTTTGCAAACCCCAGATGCCAACTCTTTGTGCACGTGGCCTTTCTTTCCCGCCTGGCCCGGCTCTCTGGACCTGCCCTGGTGACGCCAGCCACCCATGGGGACTTGGCCCCCCGTGTGCCCCTCTCTCTCCATATGCACTGAGCACTCTGAGATGTTCTACGCTGCCTCTGGGGCTGGGTGCTGGAGCGTTCAACAGGAGGAAAGTGACATCCCCCCACCAGCAGCCATTGAGAAGGTGAGAATAAGGAGCCCCGTGACCTCCGAAAGATGCAGGAGGTGGAGGCGGAGCCCAGGGGGCCTCGCTTCGGAGGAGATGCGCGAGTGTGAGCTGAAGGGGGAGTGCCTTGGTGGGCAAGGGGAGGGCTGAGGGACGGAGAGGGGCTCTGGGCACGGGCTGGGCATTTGCAGCTGGCTCTGAAACCCAGAACCGGATCTGTGCTGGGCCTCTACTTCCTGAGATCTGAGCAACCCCTCAGAAGCACTGTTGTGGGCTGACTCGTGTCCCCCCAAAATTAACATGTTGAAATCCTAACCCCCCCGCACCTCAGAATGTGAGCTTATTTGGATACAGAGTCTTTAAAGAGACAATTAAGTTGACATGAGGTCTTATGAACGGTCCTAATCCATTGCGACTGGTGACCTCACAAGAAGAAATCTGGACACAGGTTCAGCGGGAAGACAACGTGAGGACACAGGGAGAAGGTGGCCGTCTACAAGCTGAGGAGAGAGGCCTCGGGGGAGCCCACCCTGCCCACGCCTCGATCTCGGACTGCAGAACTGTGAGAAGATAAACCTCTGTCCTTGGAGCCCCAGCCTGCGTACTTCGTCACGGCAGCCCCAGCCGACCGGTCCACGACCCGAGCACGCGTGTGGCCCAACCTTGCTGCGCAGTCGCCTCCTCTCCTGAGCTGGCTCAGCCCCACCGTCTCCCAGGGCCTGTCCACGCCAACCCCAGAGCGTCTGAGGGGCCGACCTCTGCTCAGCGAGAACTCTGAGAGCCAGAGGGCCAGCGGCAGGACAGGCCCGCACAGAGGCTGGCTGGCCAGGCGGTGGGGAGCGACGTCAGAGCTTTTCAGTCCAGGAGGGGCCCAGATATACAGGCAGCACAGGAGCTGGGGCTAAGGTCTGCTCCCATCGCGGCTGTGATCTGAGCAGCTCTCATTTTGTGCTCTGTATCTTAGACTTCCACATAAGAGTTTGTTCAACTACCTAAAAACAAATTCTAAAATCGCTGAACTTGCTGGGTGTGGTGGCTCACGCCTGTAATCCCCGCTATGCGGGAGGCCAAAGTGGGAGGAACCCTTGAGGCCAGGAGTTTAAGACCAGCCTGGGCAACACAGTGAGACCCCGTCCCTACAGATAATTTAAAAAATTAGCTGGGCATGGTGGCGCACACCTGTAGTCCCAGCTACTCAGGAGAGTGAGGCAGCAGGATCGCTTGAGCCCAGGAGTCTGAGGCTGCAGTGAGCTATGATTGTACCACTGCACTCCAGCCTGGGCAACAGAATGAGACCTTGTCTCTAAAAAAAACAAAAAACAAAACTAAACAAAAAACCACTGAACTCGAATGATCTCTAAGGCCTCTTTGCTTCCGAGAGATCCTATGAGGGAAAGACAAATTAGCTCAAGCCGCAGCAGGTCTGCGGAGCAGCTCCGCCCTTTGTTTGGCCTCCTTCTGAGGACGTTTGCTTCACACATAATATGTATTTCTTGGTGAAGGAAATAGAAATAATATGTATTTCTTGTGAAGGGACAGACTGTGCCATTAAGTTTAACTAAAACAATGTACCTGGCAAGGTAACGAAATACCAAGTTCACTGCAAGCTTGCTACACCAAGTTGCTCCTGTGTTGTCAGACAGCCTGGTGCACAGAACACAGTAGGATTTTGGTATTCAAGGAATCCACCTTCCTTTTGTGGGGTTCAGAATAAACCAGGGTGGGTCATGCCTAACATAAAAGGCTCTCACAGCAGAGGAAGGTAGTAAGTAGAAAATACAAACCCGTTTCAGACAGTTATTGCTAATACCACTTAACCCTCAATCCATTTGTTCCAAAGATTATTGCTCTTAGAAAATGATCTTCCATAAAATAGTCTACTGAAACAATTTACATCTGCATGGTAAGGGTGTATTTTTCTCCCACACTGATGTACTCTGTTGCTAGGAGATGGGTCTGGAACAGAATTCCTAAATTAAACTTTCTCGCAGGCTTACTTTTATTGAACCTGGCTCTTTAAGGGCACACGCTGCAGTTACTAAGTGTGTCAGTGTGCAAAAACCTGTCATTTCTGAAGCTAGAAGACAATTAACCAGGTCACCTAGTATATATTATTCTAGGTATCTTATCATCATATTAAGAGTATGCTTTTAAGTGGCAACCGTGCAATGCTGGAAAAGCACTATATTAGGAGGAAAAAAAATCTAGGATTTGTCATTTACTAGCTGTGCAACCTTCAAAGAATGCTTAACATCTCTCAACCCTGATTTCTCTTTTTTTTTGAGACAGAGTCACTCTGTTGCCCGGGCTAGAGTGCCGTGGCGTCAGCCTAGCTCACAGCAACTTCAAAGTCCTGGGCTCAGGAGATCCTCCTGCCTCAGCCTCCCGAGTAGCTGGGACTACAGGCATGCGCCACCATGCCCGGATAATTTTTTCTATATATTTTTAGTTGTCCAGCCAATTTCTTTCTGTTTTTAGTAGAGACGGGGTCTCGCTCTTGCTCAGGCTGGTCTCGAACTCCTGAGCTCAAACGATGCGCCCGCCTTGGCCTCCCAGAGTGCTGGGATTACAGGTGTGAGCCACCACGCCCGGCCAACCCTGATTTCTTATCTGTAAAATGGGTAATATTTTTTCATAAGTTTGTTGTGAAGTATAACTAGCTATTGTATGTAAAATACTTTTTAAAATATAAAATGTTATATGGAAACATCGCCTTGTACACTGCAAATATATATAATAAAACACAAAAACTGAGATTGTGTAGAAAACTTTCAGAAGGATTAATAAGTATGCTACTTGAATTCTATACCATGAACGTGACTTAATATTATAATTTTATAAAAGTCTAGTTTGAAAATATCTTTTATTACCTACTAAATAAATTTATAAACTTCTCCACTAAACCTTTATGTCCACCTACAATATAACCCTAACCTAACTTCTACCTTTATTCTTCACTTACTCTGTATTCCAGGCAAATGGATTATTCGTTACACATGCTCAAATGTATTTTTCTGATGCATGAGTCAACTGTTACAGGAGGAAATATTAGTATGTGGAATAAAAAGATGCCTTTTAATTTAAGAAATGCTATAGGGATATAGGAATTATAAAGGTTTATGGTAATTGTATTTTATCACAGACTAAGAAGCATTTTTCCTCCATTTAAAAATTCTCATAGACATCTGTCACTGAATAGATCACAGAATAGAATCGTAGGAAGCAGTGGGACTGTCTCTGTGCCTGCTTTCCTTGTGGGACTGTGGGGGCTTTGGGGACAGGGAGGACCATCGCTAACTGTCAGAGCAGTGCTGCCCTCAGCAGGAATCAGAAACTGGCTCACGGAGGAAAAGGAAGGTGGGGAGAGAGAAAGGAAGAAGAAAGGGAGGGAGGGAGGTTGCTAATAAATCCAGCTTCAAAAGAATTCTGTAGAATTTCGAAGTTATCCTGAGTGATTTGGGGATGTGTAAAATTAATACATAGGCTCTGAAGGGATCAAGACTCAGTTGGATGTTTATTTTCTAAAAAAACGAATCGGGCCCCTCATCTCCCAGTTACCCCTCATTTTCGCCCCCAGGATATGAATCCACTGCATGTAAAGGAGACAATGAACTTATTCAACTTTGAATTTCCATCCTGATAAAAGTGCCAACAAAAGCTGGCTCCTGTGTCAGCCACAGTATTTAAAATGTAAACTTCTATTTCATACAAAAATTTATGGGCCTGAATAACAGAATTTCTGCTGATGTATCTTTTAAGGTTCTCCGATGCCCAAGGTCAGTTAGCAGAAATAAGGATCAAAAGAACATGTGATATGTACCCACTCTTTAATGGAGTGAGCCGCCAACATGGCTTGGCATATGTTGGTATTTTGTGATTCTGAACAACAGGTTTCTCATTATGGTGTGTCTGTATTCGAGGCTGAAATAACTTATGAATAAAAAGTTTACCATGTAATTTTAAGTGGGGGGAGAAAAAAGCAGGATTCGGAGTTGGATATATGTACAACATATGTATATACATCTATGTAGAAAAATGCTAATAATGATAGTATTTAATGGCTGGCAAACAATGGGCAATCTGTTTTCTTCTTTTGGTTTTAAAAATTTCTGTTACTGGGTAGTTAGTGCTTCTATAATAGTATAAAACTGTACTGAAAATTCCCAAATTATATGAAATTGTTTCAGTAACAACGATTGATATAAATCTAAGCTGTCACCAGTGTTACAGAACTAACACCTGTGAGCACATTTGCCATCCACAGCAACAATGAGAGATATTTATCTGAGAATTCCTTTCCTTCTGATTATCCATTACCCGCAGTTCAGGGCTCCTGTCCTCCGTGGTACCCTAAATAAAGTAGTAGCATCGGCTGACATTGGCAAAATGGGGGAAGAGGGTATGCACCCTAAAACCCCAGCTTCTCCTGCTTCTTATCCTTCTGGTAGCTTCTCCTGCTTACTCTGGGCTTCTGGGGCCGGGAGTGCTAAGGTGGTGACCGGACTTACCTCGACCCTTTCACGTGCTCATGTATGAAGTCGGCATGAAATCGCGGGACCAGAGGATCCTTCTCACCGTGCACAATCAGGGTGGGGCACTGGACCAGCGGCAGCAAGTGCCGGCAGATGTTACCTGAAGGACAAACACCATGAGGAACCTGCTTTCGTGTGACCGTTCTAGGAGGTGAAAAGAAACAAAACTCAGCAAGCCATGCCCCTCTTTGGTCCTCAGTTTCTCTGCCTGTAAAAACAGTAGTTGGATTTGATTGTGCCTGGGGTTCTTTCTTTGGGTTTCCTTTTCTGTTTTTCTGCTATTTTTTGTTTGTTTTTGAGCTCCACTAGTAAACAAGTAGCTTTGTCTGATTTAAATCCATAATTCATATCAAATGGTAGGAAAATCAATCAGACAAAAACCCTGTAACTCCTTATATTACATAGGGCAGTTCCCAATGTGCACAACCGTGGTGGGTGCCTGACACCTGGAAAGCTTTTCCCTGGAAATCTCGTCCCGAAGGGTCGCAGGGGCCCCAGCCAGCCCTCCACGCACATGTACCTCACAAGGAACCTGCGATTTACACGTGGTAAAGAAGGTCATCGCTCGTGCCACTGTGACACTCCAACATCCTTTGGGGGACTGACTGTAAGGACATTTCTGAGGCAATTTTGGTACAAACTGGGCTCCAGTCCCTGAACTGCCATTTCCTGCATCTGTGAGACCTTGGTGGCTCCTCACCCGCTTTGAGCTTAAGCCTCAAACAGGGACACTCACAATTCCCTTGAGGTTGCCATGAGGCTATAAAGAGAGCCATATCTAGGGGTCCTGCCATCCTAACGTAGCCACTCCCACCCCCGCCCCTCCTTCCGCCTGTGTCTAGAGGAAAGCGCTGCTGTCTGAGAGGGCCCGGCCCAATCTCTGGACGCTGCCCCGCCCTGCCCCGCCCTGCCCGGACCTCTCCCCTCCTCTTCAGCTGGGGTCACTGCTTGCTACACAAGAAGGGGACCAATTGACCATGGAAATACTCGAGGCTTCTCAAGCTTCTCTCTCCTGTCCTTCGACGACACACACCTGCCAAATGTATAATCAAATGATGATCACGAAAGTCACTGAGTGCTCGCTTTGTGTCAGGAACTGTTTACACAACTTCGTATCCGTTAAGCACTTACGGTGGCTGCGTGTTTCAACTCATTTAGCACATACAGTTATTTGTGCATTAAGTACTTCCACACAGTAACACCAAACTTTCATTAAGCACTGACTCTGTCCTTGGACCTACACCGAAGCTGAACAGATAGTGTCTCACTGAATCCCCACCCCAGCTTCATGAGGTAGGTGGTTTCTCCCAGGCATGGACAGGAAACTGTAGCTTTGAGATGCTAAGTCATCTGCCCAAATCCATTCCAACAGCAAGCCAGGGTCAAAGCCAGAATTCAAACCTAGGCCCACCTGACTCCAAAGCTGTGCAATTAACCCCTAAACTGAGCACCCATAAACTTAACTGCACAATTATGGAAGAAGGGCTCCTATCCAATTAATTAGTACAGAATGGGGATAAGTTATTAGCAGTCTTGCTGTGAGATGATTTATACACTGCTAGATCCTCTATATTAAGACATATTTTTTTTTCTTCAGACAGAGTCTTGCTCTGTTGCCCGGGCTAGAGTGCTGTGGCATCAGCCTAGCTCACAGCAACCTCAAACTCCTGGGTTCAGGCAATCCTTCTGCCTCAGCCTCCCAAGTAGCTGGGACTACAGGCATGTGCCACCAGGCCTGGCTAATTTTTTCTATATATTTTTAGTTGCCCAGCTAATTTCTTTCTATTTCTAGTAGAGACGGGCTCTCACTCTTGCTCAGGCTGGTCTTGAACTTCTGACCTTGAGCAATCCTCCCACCTCAGCCTCCCAGAGTGCTAGGATTATAGGCGTGAGCCACCACGCCCAGCCAAGACATATTTTTGAATTACTGATTTAACTCTATTTCTGCCTTTAAATCTCCATATCTTTTCACTGCTCTCTTCAATAAGGCATAAAATCTTACATTTTACAAAGTCAGTCTCTTTAATGGAGAACTGTTTCAAACATTGCTTTATGGCATTTTTTGTTTTGGGAGCAGAGAGAAACACATTTCAAAGACCCGTTTTTATGGGTGGATACTGCATTTGAACAGGATCATTATAAGGCATATATGTGCTGTTTTCAACTTAAGCCAGAAAAGTACATTTCTAAAAGTCCTTTTCATTGTGAAAGTTTTGACACATGACTCACGTAGGAAATGATTACCTAACAGATGAAACTGGTCCTTCAATCACAATTTGTAACAATGTACTCCAAGATTAGATCTTAGTTACTCTATTTTTTTCAGCAATTAAAAAAAGGAACAGAGAAATGAGAGATTATAAACATTAATAGCTGTATAAAAATAAATTTTAATTCAGAATTTCTCCTAAAGATGTCAACTCTTACTGTTAATGGGAATCTTGCTAATTTTTCAGATAAAGAACAGGAAGACACTTGTTCATAGCTGAGATCATATAACTTAGTTCTGAAGATGGAAAAAGAACTGAGTATTTTCCTCCCCATACTAATTCTGCTGGGGCCAAAGACTATGACAGAAATTTCCTCCTTGTTTTGTCCTGGTAACAGAGCATCCTGGTGCGGTGACACACCTAAACGTGTGAACAGGAAAAACATAGTGTACATATTATGGCTTATTCGTTTTCTAACTACCCATTCTGGAATTAGAAAACAGGAACTGATCATGGCTTCTGGAAAACTATTTTATCATCACACACACGAAGGGTTAGAAGGAAAAAAGAACAGTCTGCTCTTAAAGACTCGAGAACATCACCCCGTAGACATGCAGTCCTGTCTCTAGGTTAAGGCAGATTGTGCAAGAACTTGCACTGTGTACGATAACTGGGATTCTCTGTGCACATGTGAGTGTGGAAGGACAATGGGTGGGCTCGGGACTCACTGAGGAACTCTGCGACATCAAGGCAGGAACTGAAGATCCCCCTCCAATCCACAGAGCGACCCTTCAACAGTCCATGCAACCTACCCTCTGGTTGCTGTTTAAACTGTCCTATGCCATCCACCCACTTCTCGCAGGTCCTGGCAAAGTAGTCACACCCATACAGGGCTTCTAGAGGCTTTCTTGTCCTCTCACTCCATTTAGAAACATCTCGGATGCCTGAAAAACAGAAGCGCAGACAAGGATAGGTTTAGTCTCATACTAAGGTATTATGTTGAAATCTTCCGAGCATGAGCCACCTCTGACCCCTCGTGCTCACTGTTCTGGCTGCCTGGGACGCCTCCCTCCGCCCAGGCCCTTCCCTCCCTCTGCTTTGCTGGGCACCTCCCACTGCTTTGCAGTGTCTCTGTACCCTCAGCTGAGCGCCTGCCCCCGCCTAGGTCACATGCCCAGTGTAAGGGACTGTGCTTTGCCCCTGACTATACCCCAGGGCCTAGACCAGGGCCTCCCACAAAACAAGCCCACGATAAATGCTTACCAAGTGAATGAAATGAGACCTTCACTTAATGCTTTCTGTTAAGGGTATACAATAAAAGAAAATATTCCTCTAATTAGGGTCACTTGAGTAAGAGTGATATTATTTGCAAAAGAGGACATTTTTGCTAAGTTTCATTTTTATGTACATTGAAAAATGCACACGAATTATTCATTCTAATTTTGGCCACTGAAATATGGGTGTAAAACGCTAACTAGTAACTTCAAACTATATTATAGCTGATTCACTAGTAGGAAAGGAGTAATAGCTGAAAACAACCTTCAAAATGAATCAACAAATACAATTACTCAGCCCAATATTTTCCATCTTTCTTAAATACACTGATAATTTAAAAATTTGAATACTTTTGAGCATATTAAATGTTGCTTATTGAGAGCTTTTAATACAGTGCTTCTGCTAAACAGCACCCCTGGAAGACAATATGACACTAATGATATAAACTCCCATCGAACAATCATCTATACAGGGCTCCGACAGTGCTAGGAGCCCGCAGTACTCAGCGTGTACTCGGGGAATCGGAATAACTGAATGGAGGAAAAACTGCTGCTTCCAGCTACCCCTGCCTTTGCAGGGTGGATCCCAACACGAGAAGGTGCCTGCCTCTGACTGCCTTACACTGTCTGAGGTCAGCTGGAGTGAGCTGAACGCAGAGGCTGAGGACGGGCCGACTGCTCTGCACAATAGGGAAGGTATGAAGGGTGTGGAGAAGCAATTAAAAAATTAAGAGGTGGGGAGGAAATTTGGGAAGAAGAAAAAGAAAAATCTGGGTGGGAGAGGAGAAGGACAGAAAATCCAGCATGACAGTGTGAAGACAGTAAAAAAATTCCCTGTAGATGCTTCTCCTTTTGGCCGTATGACAGGCCGCCCCCTCTGAGAGGCCTTCTAGCAGGGGAACAACTAGATCTTTCTCAAAACATAATTTTCTTGCATTGTTGAAGCTGCAGTGATCAATGCAAACTAGGGCATGAGAGGGTCCGAGTGTGTTTGTATAGGAGAAAAAAGGCCTGAAAAGAGAGCCAAGGAAGACCCCAGCGGCAGGGCTGCTCTGGGTGGAGACGCAGCCGGGATGGCTGGCGAGGGCCGAGCCTGACATCCCTGGTTCCAGCCGAGCTGACACCGGCCCCAGCTCCGTACGCTCCTCTGGCTCCCAAGAGCAGCAAACGCAAACCCTCTCTGAAGGAAAGCATTCTCCATCTATGCTCGCTGTTTTGTTCGTTTGTTTCCAGATTTAAGAGTAAGCAAACATTAGCTCCTAAACAAAGATCAGAAAACAAACAGAATTTTTTTAAAGTTGATGAAGAAACTAGAAAACTGGGTAAGAAATCTTAATTGATGATGTAGAACAGGACGCAGAGAGACAGAAGAACAAGAGACACCGAAGACAGACAGCCGAGGCCCACCTGCTGGGACCGGAGGAGGGGAGAAAAGCGCAGTGGAGGAGGCGCGTTTTCAGAGGTGATAAAAGAATCCGAGAACAAACAGCAAATGTATTCCAAACAGGATGAACAAAATGAAACCCGCGCTTAGACGCAGTATAGGGAAACAGCCTGCAGCAAAGGCTGGGGGAAAATCTGAAAACGCAGGCAGACAGGTGAGGCTCAGCCCCCGAGGGCAGGAGGGCAGGACGGGAGACAGGAAGCCCAGTGGCTGGGAGGAAGAAGGCGGCAGAGTCACAGAGAAGTGACTGTCCCCCTGCGTGTTCACATCCAGCCAAACGGCCTCTCAAGAAAGAGGGCGAAATAAAGATACTTTTAGGTAAAAACTGAGGTGACTATTAACGGGCTGTCCTTAAAGAACTTCTAAAAATAACTTCAGGAAGAAGAGAGAAGCTTTTAGAAGGAACACCTGAGGTGAAAGGACAGGTGCGTAAAGACACTTGCAAACATGATGGTGAACCGACAAACAAACAAAACGCCAAGCTAATGAGAAAGTGAAACACTGTGGCATTTCCTTACATTAGCAGTGAACAGTTCTGTCCATAACGAAAGTGAAAAGACAGGCCACAGGCTGGGAAAAGATCTCTGTAACACAACTACCTTTCAAGGGGTTATTAATTAGATTATTTTTTTTAAAAACTACACATGAATAACGCTGTGATAATACTGGAACTGGCTAGTCTTGGGTTGGGTGGAGAGTCCTTGGGTGTTTATTTTGTTGTTTTTGGGGGTTTTGTTTTTGTTTTTGTTTTTTTGAGACAGGGTCTTGCTCTGTTGCCTGGGCTCGAGTGAGTGGTGTGATCCTGAAGCTCACTGCAACCTCAAACTCCTGGGCTCAAGCGATCCTCCTGCCTCGGCCTCCCAAAGTGCTGGGATTACAGGTGGGAGCCACCGCACCCGGCCTGTTTTGCTGTTACGTTTCATATTGTATACCTGTTGGCCATGTGGTATTATATGTATGCAATATTACCTAATAAAAATTTAAAAATCAATAAAGATATTAATAGATATAATATGGAAGAAGCCCAAATGGTGAATAAACACATAAAAAGATTTTCAATCTCATTAGTAATAGGAAAATGCAAATTAAGACCACAATAAGATAACATTTTACAGCCATCTGATTGGCTAGTCTGACAATTTCAAGTTTTTACTGAAGACATAGGTTAAGGAATCTTGTATCTTGCTGGTGGAAGTGTAAATTTATTGTTGGAAAACAATTTGTCACTTGTAATGTGGTATATCTGCCCACGACACTTGGCAATTTCACTTGTGGGCTTGGAGCCTAGAGACACGGTTGCTCCTGTGCCCCGGGAGGCAGGTACAAGAATGTTCGCAGCAACCATGGAAATGAACTGCCTGAACAGCACGGCTCTGTGAGCTGCAGGGGCGCTGGGGAAGGAGTGGCGGCGGCGGCTCCCTCAGGGATACGGTGCTTGAGCTAAGTGTGGGGAGCAGAAGCCAGCAAGGAAGGGAGCAGGAGGGCGTGTGCGCCTTCACAGCCGGCCGCCCACAGGCTGCGGGAAGCCGGAAGCGCGGTGTCACGTGGCTGGACTGGAGGCGAAACCGTGGGAGGCGGCCTGGAGAGGCGCAGTCCCGGGCCACTCGCTTGGTCCACAAAGCTTAGCGGCTTGACCTTTACCTGAGAAGCTGTGAGGCGTCCTTGAAGGCTTTTCAAGGAAGACGCCATGAGATTGCTGTCAGAGCAGGCTGGAGAGCAGGGAGGGCAAGCTGGGTCCACAAAAAGCAAAGAGCAGGAGTGGAGCGGAGCGGGCAGGGGGATGCTGTATGGAGGGCACCACGCGGCACGGACTGCAGAGCCAGGCCTGAGCCCGCCCTCCCAGCTGCACCCCTGCGGCAGAGTCCTCACTTCCCTGAGCCCAGGTTTCCTTATCTGCAAAGCAGGCTGAGCAGTAGCTGCCCTACAAGGATGGTGTATGGTTAAAGACTTGAGCTCGTGGCAGACCCTGGATAAATAGTAATTAAAAATGCTCTTTTGTGGGAGAAATAGTATATTCCAGTGGGTATCATTTACCAAGATAAAGAATTTAGCAGGAGGAACAGGTCTAGAGGGAAGATTACGGGTTCAATTTTAGACAGACTGAATTTAAGGTAGGGCAACCGGATAAGAAAATTGAATAAAAAGTTGAATAAGGCAACATAGTGAGAGGTGGTCTTTATAAAAAAAAAAGTTGACTATGTGGGATTTGGGAGTTAGGTGAAGCCAGGGGCGGAGTGCAGCTACTCGGGTTTTGAGAGCAGAGCACGGAGGACAGCGCCTGGAAGACCCCCCACGTCACGGCCCACAGGGGGAAGTGGGCCCGTGTCACAGCCAGAGAACAGCCGGAGAGAGAAGGGGTGAGTTGGGAGGACACGGTGGAGAGAACTTCAAGACAGAAAGCTTCAAAAAGAGAGTGTGATCAATACGCTCCTACTGCACATCATGAGCATATCCCCAAACACTGCAGAATGACCAGGGAACAAGGGCAGGAGCGTGTCTGGGGGTTTGGTGACACGTAGGCTCCGTCTCCACTGCTGGAAGGTCAGAGCCACCTTGACGCAAGTTAGGAGGGACTGGGAACGGGAAAGTGGAAACAAGGGCCCAGAAGGAAGCAGAGATAAGTCAGGCAGTAGAGAGGGGCGTGAGGTGGAGAGGGAGTTCCGTTCGCAGAGGAAGGAAAGGCAGGGCCGTTGCCCATAGTGCGTCCCCTCCGCAGTGACTGCGGCGGGAGTAGGAAGATGACAGCGCCCAGCACCGCGGCCCACGATGCAGACACGTGCACAGCGTCGCAGGGCCCAGAACGGTGAGCGCCATCGGGTCTTGGCACTCTGGGATGCTGTCCCAGACGAGGCGCCCCAGGAGCCGGGTCAGGGGCGAAGATGCCTCGCTGGGGAGGGGCCGCGCAGGCCAGTGCTCGCGGGAGGTCAGCAGAAACAAAGGCAAAGAGGCGTGAAGGGGGGAGCTGGTTTCCAGAACGGCGACTTACCCCTGTGGGAGACGCCCCAGAGGATGAGGGAGAGGGAGACGAGCCAGACACGCTGCCTGGACTTAAGTTACTGAAGGGTTTTCAGTACTACAGCAGAATCCAGGGATCAGATTTTTGCCTTGGAAACGAAACTCTCCTGTGGAGGACAAACCCACCCTGAGAGGCCAAGGGCCTGACCCAGGAAAGTGACGGGAAGGACAGAGGTGGGGGTGACTTGAGAGGCAGCACGAAGGTGGTGCCCACAGCATGCCGCCAGAGTGAAAGGCAGAGGGAGAGGAGGACCGGGCCTGAGGGCTGACTCTGGCTTAGACGGGGCATCACCGAGACAGTGACGGTGGGGGTGGGAAGGGCCATGAAATAATGAGTTCAGGTTTAGAACAAGGAAGACCACATGCTGGGGCATAAAACAAACCTTAATACATTCAAAGGAATTAAAATCATACAATGTGTGTTTTCTGAACCAATGGGATTAAACTAGATGCCAATAACAGAAAGGTTTCTTGGAAACCTAAAATAATTGGAAATTAAATGATACACTTCTAAATAACCATGGGTGAAAGAGGAAATCTGAAGACATATATTAGAAAATATTTTTAAATGAATAAAAATACAACATATCAAAATTTGTAGAATGCTTAGATGTAGCAGTGCTTAGAGGGAAATCTATAGCATTAAATGCTTATATTAGGAAGGAGAGAGGTCTCAAATCAATAAGCTAAGCTTCTACTTTGAGACTGGGGATAGGGGGAAGGAAGCAAATTAAAACTCTAAGCAAGGCCGGGCGCGGTGGCTCACATCTGTAATCCTAGCACTCTGGGAGGCCGAGGCAGGTGGATCGCTCAAGGTCAGGAGTTCGAGACCAGCTCTGAGCAAGAGCGAGACCCCGTCTCTACTAAAAATAGAAAGAAATTATTTGGACAACTAAAAATCTATATAGAAAAAATTAGCCGGGCATGGTGGTACGTGTCTGTAGTCCCAGCTGCTCGGGAGGCTGAAGCAGGAGGATTGCTTGAGCCCAGGAGTTTGAGGTTGCTGTGAGCTAGGCTGACGCCAGGGCACTCTACTCCGGGCAACCGCGTGAGACTCTGTCTCAAAAAAAAAAAAAAAAACTCAAAGCAAGGAAGACAATAATAAAGAGAAGAAATAATAACCAAAACATCATGGTACTGGCATAAAAACAGACACATAGACCAATGGAACAGAATCGAGAACCCAGAAATAAATCCACACATCTGTGGTGAACTTACATTCAACAAAGGTGCCAAGAACACACAGTGGGGAAAGGACAGTCTCTTCAATAAGTGGTGCTGGGAAAACTGGACATCCATATGCAGAAGAATGAAACTAGACCCTTATTTCTCTCCATATACAAAAATCAAATAAAAATAGATTAATGACTTAAATCTAAGACCTGAAACTCTGAAACTACTAAAAGAAATCACTGGGGAAATGCTTCAAGATACCGGTCAGGGCAAGCACTTCTTGGGTATTACGCCCAAAGCACAGGCAGCCAAAGCAAAAATGGACGAATGGGATCACATCAAGCTAGGCCCTGGGCAGCAATGCTGGGAGCACAGGGGACACCCAGGCTTGGTCTCCGTGACTCCCAGAACTAGCCTCCTTGATTAGTGCCCAGGCTTTACAAAGGCAGGTGGTAGGCTGGATTTAGTTTTTCAGTGCATCTAAAAACCGCAAAGAAAAGCCTGAAGGACAACCTCAAAAAATTTGACTAGCACAGAAATTCTTCAATCAAAATATAAGGTTTCGTATTTGAATTCCATGCTCCCTTTCATACTCACATTATTTTAAATGAAATTATTAATAACACCGCACATCACCTCTCCCTTTCTTAAAGTTCACTAGCAGCAGTAGTAAATGGAAATGCTGCTTTTACTTAGCCTTTTCTTGAGTTATGAAAGTTTCACTCCTGGAAATAGAAAGCTTTAAAACTCAGACTGCTTCAACCGCCTTACTTTTCTCAGAACTCATTATTCTTCCTACCTTGCAGTTGAGAGCTGGAAGCAGATACGACTTGTCAACATATCTCAAAACGAGAGATGAGAAGGGGAAAGACAGAGAATCATCCACTGTCACGCCATCTCCGGCCGGCAGAACCTACCCTCATAAATCACGCTGTCCTCGGCAGTGACGTAGGCGTTGGCGCCCCAGATCACCATCTTGTGGATGTAAGCGGGATATTTTGCGGCAGCAATGAGCGCGGTTATGCCGCCATCACTCCACCCCAGCAGAGAGACCTTCTTAAACTTCAGCGTCTGTGACAAATACAGAAGATGCACAGCGCAGGTTACTGCTCCTCTGCTGAAAGAACCCAAGAGCCACGAGTGTTCAGAATCAATACAGGTGTGGGGTCAGACTATCAATTAGTAATAAAAGAAAAATCCTAGCGTACACCATCGGATGACATAATGTTTTTTCTCAACTAGTTTTGGTGTAAATAATTGTCACAAAAACCTAAGTATATAGGATGGGTCTGAATTATGAGGGAACTACATCTTCTAGTTGGATAAATCTCAAGGAACTAGAGTCATCAAAGACCAGTTATACTTAGATATGACAAATACTCTGTGTGTGTGTGTGTGTGTGTGTGTGTGTGCACGAGCGTGTACATGCCTGAGCAAGGACTTTGCGACAGTTCTGCAGAGCAGAGAGGGGACCTTGAGATCTGCCGGAGGAAGTGAAGTGTGGCATCTGGTGAAGCCGCCGACTGCACCTGTGGGTAGAATTGCTAGAACTGGGCTGTCAGAGAAAGGCGTGGTGTCTGGGTGAATCAAACAGGGTCTGAAAATGTGTTTGGCAAGGAAACAAAGATTGCATGTGAGAGGCTGCCTAGGAGTACGAATAGAATGGCTGGGAAAATTTAAGGTAAAGAATGAACAAATATTAGTCGGTGGTATTTGCTGCCAGGACTATAAATTGGTATAACCACTATGGATAATAATTTGGCATTATCTTATAAAACAAACATTTGCATCTTCTTCACCCAGCGAGTTGCTTCCTAAATTCGTCTGACACTCTCCCACAAGTGTGCTAGGCGCTCGGTCCAGGATGTCCACAACAACATTATGTAAAATGGCAAAAAAATGAAAACTACAATGGCCATGAACAACAGAATGTTCACTGCACTGCTATTTATAATCACAAAAAAAGGCAACTTAAAAATTAAATTAGTTATCTACCATCAGAAGATGGGTGAAGTAAAACACAGTACATCCACCTGATGGACTAAGACTGATGTAAATGCGTAGTTAGTGACATGCAAGTAGCTCCTCGACAAATTGTTCAGTGAAAATGGTAAGTGGAAAAACATCGGGTGTCATGTGATAACAATCCTGGCCAGGAAGGCCAGGTAATGGTGTCTTTAGACAGCTGGATTGTGGGCTATTTCTACTTTCTTCTTTACATCTATTTGAAGTCTATAGGAACCCCATGGTATTGCCTTTGTAGAAAGAAAGAACAATAAAACAAAATAAATGCAGACGGGCCCACCCTCCCTCCCTGCCCTGGGCGCCTCCCTAAGAGACCCACCTTCATCAAATCTACAGCATCTTTTGCATCCCTTTCAAAAAAGTCCACTGGGAAATCTCGATCTGGGGGTCTGGAGCGTCCATATCCTCGGGGATCCCAGGCGACCACTGTGAAGAGCTTCTTACTTAGGCTCTGGAGCTGGGGTCCGAAATCAGTCTCTCCACTTCCTGAAAACAGCCACTCCGTTACGCCCAGGCAAAGGCTTCCCTTGCATCAAACACATCACAGTGAAGACAGCGGCACTAACAATCTTAAAGCAAAGTGGCCAGTCTCTACTCCGAGTCAGCCGCCAGAGCGCGACCAGCAAAGTACGCTTCCAGTGACCGAGGCCGCACTCTCGGCCCACGGCCTTTCCCGCAGGAGTTCGGATCTGCTGCGACCTCCCCCTGGTGGCTATTTTGAGAAGGACCGAGGGCTTGATTCTTTGGTCCTCTATTTTTCAGTACTTTCAATACCTCTTTCCTTAATCTTCCTTTTTTAAAAAAAGAATTAATGAAACTGTATAGAAATAAAATTACACATATGATATGCTTCTGGGTTATCTTTTCTTTTTTTTAATGACTTACAAATGAAAGGTATCTCTATATTATCTGTAAACAAATTTAGGAGATTTGGTCTACATTATTCAAAGCAGAATTCTAAAATTCCAGATTTTTTTATTAAGCTAATGTGAATAGCCCTAAATATTTTATTTTGTAGTTACAATTAAAAAATAGAAAACTAAACTAAAACACTGAAATGGGGGGAGGGCATGGAGGGGAGAAATCAAATTATAAAAGTTTGCTTCATGAAAACAGTTCAAAACAGCCTATGTTAACAAGTAGACCTATATTCCTGGGCCTGTGGCGGACTTCACCGGCAGTCCCTAACCCCGCCACGTGGCCACTCTAGGTGTGGTGTGCCCACACCCACTGCACACAGCATGGAGGACCGCTCTGAAAGAGCCCAGCCCGGGGGAAAGTCAGCGTTTTATCTGTGAAGCCCACTGATTTCTGAGGACTCATAGCTCAGGCCACCAAGGAATACTCAACACTTTGCCTGATAAACTAGCTGTACTAGAAAAATGTCTTTCAAGACGGTGCAGGATCATTTAACATTATCAAGGCCCATTATTCTTCCTGGCAAGATAAAGCCTTTTCAAGATGAGGTAAATCATTCAGAAAACCCAAGTCAAAAACCAATCAACGGATGTCTAGCCTGTATCTCCTGCTGTGAACCAGGGGGCCTCTCTCGTGATCCCTGACCTGGGGTGACTTCTGCTGGGAAACTGCTCTGAAGGAGGGGCAGAAGGTGAGAAGACAGGAGGGGACCCTCTAAAAGATCAATTTCATAAATAAAATTCATAAATCTGCTTTGTGGCACACGTGCATACAGTTGAAGAATACTAAACCCTTAAACAATGTTTAAGGAACAGATACGCATAGGCACCGCTTTGCGACACCTAAGAAGCCTGTGGGAGGGGGTCTGCATGCTGAGGACGGGATAGGAGACAGAATCTCACTGTTCCATCTTTTAATTTTGGAATCATGCTAATGTTTTACATAACCGACAATTAAATTAGTAAAAGCTTTTATATCTGGATAATAACTGCAATACTAAAATAATGGAAAGCTAAGCTGGGAAATTATTCGTTGTCTTTATAGCTAACTTTAGCTTTCCATCGGTCATTGCAGTGAGTGTCCTCTCTCATTACGATAGCTTAAGGAAAACAAAGATGCTAACACTATCTAGACTCAGAGGCCTCGCTGGCTACAATAGTACCACAACCGGCTGAGGCTCAGTCAAGTGGAACCATCACTGAAATGACTTTAGCACTTTACTTTTAGAAAAAAGAAGCAAATCACAAGGCAATAAGTGCAGTCAGCCCTCCCCATCCATGGTTTCCACATCTGTGGATTCAAACAGTTGTGGATCAAAAAAATGTTTTTAAAAATATGGATGGTTGGGTCTGTACTGAACATGTAGTTTTTTCCTTGTTATTATTCCCTAAACAATATAGTATAACAACTATTGACACAGCATTTACATTGTATTAGGTATTATCCATAAACTAGAGATATTTAAAGTATACAGGAGGATGCGCATAGGTTATCCAAATACTTTGTCATTTTATAGCAGGAACTTAAGCATTTGTGGATTTTTGGATTTGTGCAGGGTCCTAGAACCAATCAATCCTCCACAAACACCGAGGGATGACTAATATATGGAAATTATTTAACTAAACCAAAAATAAAGCAACAATATAGCCCCCTTAAAACCAAACTTGGAATGTCCTGAGATCGCTGGAAATATTCCCCCTGAACTTTCTACATCTGAACAACTGTTCTGAAAATGAGATTGAGACCCAGTGGGCTTCATTATGCCCCACACATTAAGAGAGGGTAATCTGCTAATCTAATTTTGATTTTCAAAAAGACTGTATGTTTTTTTCTTAACTCTTACATTAATTGAACATATTATCAACCACAACAAGGGTGATCAATCCAAACTGGTTTTAACACCTGGAAAATTCCTAGATGCCAGGCAAACTAGGATGGCCAGTCACCCACTCACCTTCTTCCTTTGTCTAGCCTTCTTCCCACACCCCTTTCCTTACCTCTGGCACCCTCCAAATTGGAGGCAGCTGTGGATTCACAGCATGGGAAAAACCGGGCACTTAAAGGAATAAAAAATACATGTAGGCCGGGAGCGGTGGCTCACGCTTATAATCCTAGCACTCTGGGAGGCCGAGGCGGGAGGATTGCTCAAGGTCAGGAGTTTAAGACCAGCCTGAGCAAGAGTGAGACCCTGTCTCTACTAAAAATAGAAAGAAATTAGCCGTACAACTAAAAATATATAGAAACAATTAGCCGGGCATAGTGGTGCATGCCTGTAGTCCCAGCTACTGGGGAGGCTGAGGCAGGAGGATCGCTTGAGCCCAGGAGTTTGAGGTTGCTGTGAGCTAGGCTGATGCCACGGCACTCTAGCCCGGGCAACACAGTAAGACTCTGTCTCAAAAAAAAAAAAAAAAAAAAATACACGTAGCAGAAAGTTATCTACTTTTCTAAATCATTTACATTTGATTGTGGCAAATACTGCTTCAAACATTTTAGCAAAGCACTAAAATTAATAATCAATATTTGGCACCTAGTATTTTGAATGCATCATAGATGATACAGCACGTAAAAGCTATTAAAAAATGTCCAGACCCAACATTCCAGGAAGTAGCAGGACTGCGTGCTCTCCCTCTCCCGTCTGCTGGTAATGCAGGTGAACGCCATTCACGGCCACTTTGGCAGAGGTGACTGAGGTGCTAGAAGAAAAAACACCCATCCCCACAGAGGGGAGGAAGGGACAGGGAGAGATTTGTCAAAGGATACAAAAGTAAGCTAGACAGAAGCAGTAAGTTCTAGTGTTCTATAGCACTGTAGGATGACTATAGTTAACAATCTTATATAGCTTCAAATAGCTAGAGGAAGGATATTGAATATTCCCAACACAAAGAAATGATAAATGTTTGAGATGATGGATATGCCAATTACACTGATCTGATCACTACGTGTTACATGTATCAAAACATCACTATGTACCCTATGAATATGCACAATTATGTCGATTAAAAAATAAAAATGTTTTCTAAAAACCCTACCCCAAAAGAAAAATTGTTTAGCAGCACAAATTTAAGGTAGCAAAACTGTTCTTTTACGTGCATGAGTCAGCTCCAGCACCCTCTCCGGAGTCTTGGATTGCCTCAGTTTCCCAATTCTGAACAGTGACATGAGTCTATCTTCCTTACTAGGCTGCAGATCCGAACCGTGCCTTCATGCTTGAATATGCCACAGCCCCCAGCCCGGGGCTTACCCTACAAAAGCACTGAGAGCCCTGCTGGAAGCAATGGCACACAGGCCTGTGGCATGTGCCAGGGAGCTGGAAGCGGAGGGGGCCCAAGTGCAGCTGCTGTGGGGGCTCCTCACAGTGAGGGGCGAGGGCGGGCAGCAGAGGCAGGAGCTCGAGCCACCTGCCGGCACGTCAGCAGGCCTAGCGGGGGTGCAGACTTGCAGCAGCCCTGACAGCGTTCTAAAGGATGTGGCTGACCCCAGGCGTCCGGAAGGAAGGCCTGGATCTCAGGCAGTGCTTGAGGTGTAAGGCTTCTTATGTGGTCCGGCCAGCTGCAAGAGGGCTATAGTCAGGAACGCCCCTCTGCACTGAGATGGCCATACCCGTTTTTTAAGATGTTGAAATATTTCTGTGTTGACTGTTAAATAGCCACGTCCATAAGCCCCCATCTCAAAAGCCCTCCCTCCTACCAATGGCCTCGGGGCAGGGCTAATGGCAGCATGTGTCCTGCCAGAATGACACGTGTGTTCCGATTAACCTTTCCTCAGCTGCTCTTCGGCAGCTCCAGAAGAGGCGTCCAGGGGTGTACACGATAGAGCACACGCAAGGGCCCTGCACCAGGCCCCAGCAGCCTCTGCTACTTTACCAGATGGCTGAGTGACGCACGGAAGGGACGTAGCAGCACACAAGGACAGGCGTTAGGAGGAGATGCTCCTCTTCTCCTAGTGAATTGTTGATAAACTTAAATCAACCATTGCCTCCTTTTTCTTTTACATACTCCCTTCCCTACCCCTCCCCTTAGTCAGAATGATTCCTGAAATGCAGCACTTTTGAACGAGCAAAGTCCTATTTCCTCTTTTGGTTTCATCTCATCAGCCAACTTCAAGTAAGAAAGAAACAACCGCAGAAACAAATGAGTTGAATACAGGTACATCTAATCTTAACACACAATTTTTGGAAAAATACAAGGCAGAATGAGGTGGTAATAAGGCCTGACATAACTGCAAGCTCATTATCCACAGAAACACTAATTAGAGGAGCAATTACAAAGCCACAGAGCAATGGCAATAGTGGCACCACCAATTTGCTTGTTATTAACATCCTATTGCTCAGAGGAATTCATCTCTGTGGTTAAGATGGCTTCAGATAGCTGAGGATCAAGACAGAGGCAAATAAACGCACTCTATTGAGAAGACTCATTTCAGCAAACGTTTGCATATTGGTGCATCTGCTTTGTTCGGTCTAGTAGGAGAGAAGATAAAGACAGAGGATTTGCTCTGCAGACCTCAGGGAGGCTGTTATGACTGAAGAAACGAAGAACTTGAGGTACCTGGATGGAATGAAAGTTCTTAGCAGTATTTTTTCCTGTGTTTACTAAATAAAATGAGGCAACTCCCTAAACAGAGATGACCAGCACTTACCCGGCTCGGCTCGTGTTAGTAATAATGTGCATGATACTATCCTTTTTCTGTGTTACTCCTTGGGGCTCCCTTCCCTGAAGTGCTGAGGAGGTGCTTGTAAAAGTCTTCTGCACCGTGAGGCTATCAGGTATAACAAGAAGCCCCTCTCCCTCATTCTCACCATCCAAAGCTGGTCCGTTTCTGGGACCGGGTGTTGCTGCCTCACACTCTCTAAGCCAGCACCAGGGCACCAGCTCACATAGGATTCTTTGCTTCAGCTCCCATGATCATTCCGAAGTCTCTTCTGCAAAAACCCTCTAACTTCCCTCTGCACTTTGCTGTATCTATGTTTTGATTTCCCATTCCAAACTGTATTTTTTTTCCTAATTACTGCCATCCCATATTCTTTTGGTTGCCTAAAATAATACAGAAACAAAACCAGGTAGTTTAGAGTCCAGCATAATGGGAACTCAATGTTGGGGAAGTATTTACAAAGGCAGAAGACTTGGAAGATGGCTTTAGACGGCGGACAGAGAGATCATATCAGGGCTGGGTAGAGATATCTGAGAAGAGAGAAAAAGTAGCATTTGAGATGAACTGGCAAAGATGGGTAAAACTCTGAAAAAAGAATATGGTGGGGAGGGCATTTCTTGAAGAAGAAATAGCATGGTCACCGGCCCAGGAGCAACAGCCGTGTGGGCGGACAAGCCAGTGTCCACCCTAGCAGGAGTGTGCAGGCAGAGCGTGAGCCAAGGCTGGGGCCTATTTGTGAAGGGCTTGCAGCCAGGCTGAGGGGAAAGAGAATGTCCTGGGTGCTCCGTCATCAACGTCCTACATGTCCATCATCCATCACCAGAGTACCTGCCATTATCACGTAGGCCCACGCCCTGGGGTTAATGGAGTCTGCCAAAAGGATTGTTTATGAACAAAAGCAAATGAATTTCCAACATAAGACAAAGGGGCCAGGTGTGGTGGCTCATGCCTGTAATCCCAGTACTTTGGGAGGTCAAGGTGGGAGGACTGCTTGAGCCTATTAGTCTGAGATCAGCCTGGGCAACATAGCAAGACCCCATCTCTAAAAAAATTTTTAAAAATCAGCCGGGGATCGTGGCACGCACCTGTAGTCCCAGCTACTCGGGAGGCTGAGGCAGGAGGATTGCTTGAGTCTAGCAATATGAGGTTGCAGTAAGCTAGGATGACACCACTGTACTCTAAGCCAGGGTGACAGAGCGAGACACTGTCTCAAACCAAAAATATCTGGGGTGGGAGCCAGGTATCTACATTTTTTAAATTACCCAGATTCTAATAGGCAACCAAGGTTGAGAATGACTGAGTTAATTTCTTGGAGGAAAAAAAATCCCGTCTCCCTTTTAAAGCATGCCTTCCTACCTTGTGTTTATCCTAGACTCCCTCTTTCTGAAAGGCTGAGCAGGCAATTTTGCGAAAGGAAAGGATCACCTTACAACAGTAGTGAGGGGGCTGAGCTGCTCCCCTCAGAGAGGCAGAGTATACTGTTGGGAGGGGCAAGGATATAACACTGTTGCGAATAGTTAAACTGAAGCTAACCTTTGCGACTATGTGTCATGCGCCCTAAGAACTTTACCTAGCCCCCTCATTTTTGCTCTGAGGTGCACATTATACTTAACCTAATTTTACCACTGAAGAGCCTGAGGATCAGGTAATTTGCCCCAGTCCCACTGCTAGTAACCTGCAAAGCCAAGATGGGCATCTGAGTGCCTGACCCCAGGGCCTCAGCTCTTTGGCGCTTTGCTTAGAGATAAAAAATGGGGCTACTTAATAAGACACACCCTCATTTTGGAAGTCCTCATTCAGTAGTATATATTCAGCTATTCTTTTGTTTCTTTTTCCAAAGTAGTCATTAGCCACAATAAAGTATTAACTAACCCCGGGGCTTGAAATTTATATGAATTTTTATGAGTTTTACATCTTTTATATATTGTATTATTTAGATATTCCAATTGTACCTACTAATTACTTGGTATTTATTATGTCTCAGGCCTTTTACATTTGCTGTTTCAAATCCTCACAAAAACTCTGCAAGGCAGCAGGCTCAGAGAGGTTGAGTAACGTGTATACATTTGCCCAGCTAAGAAGTGGCAACATGGCCATTAGAACTCCAAAGACCATGACTCCTCTCTAACCTCATGGCAGAACAGAGTCCTCAGTAGGGCTCAGGCACTGCCAGATAGAGCGTGGTGGCAGGCATCAGTGGAAGGATGGTCTCTGATCCTCTGGCAGGGTATACCAAGGTTGAACCTGGAAAATATTTTTCTTCAGGTAGACTGTTAGGTTCCGTAAGTTATTGATATTATAACTATATATAACATACAATTTCAGGTAGAAAAGGCTTTTTTGACCTGACCCAGAAATAAACCACCTTCCAGATCATGTAAGAAAGGGTCAAAGTTCCAAACAACAAACTTAAACAAACACATTTTTGGAACACAACTCAATTGTAGGTTGGGTACTGGCTGTTTTGAAGCGAAGTATTTATTTACCTACTTATGTTGGGCTGCGGCCTTGATTCAGGATGAACCAATCCCATGCTTGTTTTCCCAGATCACATGTCATATCAATTTGCAGCCACATTTATAAAATGGCAGTACAAAATCCAGAGAAACCTGTTTTTCAGACCCGTTTTAGGAAGAATGATCTGTAGTGCAGCTAGGTAGTTGGGGCTTTCCTGCAATCATTAAATAAACTATCAGAACTATGACATTGGTACAATCCCTGTAACCTGATTTCAATCCCTTTCTGCAGACAGGAAACTGGATAAAATGCCCATTTTTCACTATTGATGTATCTAGCTGTGGCCATTGACATGTTTTTCCATCTATCAAAATAGTCCTGAAAATCTTCTAATAATTCCAAAATAATAATGAAAGAACCTAAATGAAATATGAAACTCAAGAGCTAGTCAATCACATAAAAATTTAAAAGCTGTTCGGATCTGCCTTCCTATCTGCTTCCAGATTAAGTTCTCAATCTAGACGTTTCCACAGTCGATCAAGTAAAGTTCTAAATGCCAGGTACCTACCTAGCATTTGACTTTTTTCCTAGTCACTAATGGAATGGACTCATCAACAGTTAATCGCATGCATGCATTGTGTACATCTGTGTGTGTATATGTGTGTGCACGTGTGTCTGTAGAAACTAAAGTAAAGCAAGCTTCATGCTGCTTTATCCACATTTCTACCCAGAATCTCTAGAAACCAACAGTACCCACTATCAAGGCAGCAGGTCAGAGACTAATCCAGTTTTTTGTCGTTATTGTTTTATCTGAAATGGAGGGAACGGAGGGAGGACAAAAGAGTAAAAAGCAGCTTCCCGAGTACCTCCACACACCTACCTCAGATCCTCCAGGATCTGAGAGTGAGGCCCGGGATTCTGCTTTTCATAGATTCGCAAGATGGCTCTCTTGCATATTAAAGTTCGAGATCAGCAAACAAGAGAAAAGTCAGGGAACTCGGGACTCGGGACTGAAGCCTTAACAGTGCTAGGAGAGCTGAAGGGCGGACCCGGCGGCCAGCTGCGCCTCGGCCCTCCCCGCGCCGACAGCCCACCTGCGGCCGGCGCGCGCCCCTCCCGCCGCCCCCCGAGCGCGCCGACGCAGGAGCCTCCCGATGGGGCAGGTGCCGTTACCCGAACGCCGCCGCGGGCCCCGCGCGGGGGACGTGGATCCCGGCCTTCAGCGCCGAGAGGGACCGCCGCAGCACGCCCCGGCTGCCCAGCGCGGCAGCCATGTCCGAGCTCCCGCCGAAGGGGGCGCCCGCGCCGGTGCCTGCCGCAGACCTCGGCCCGCCCCGCCTCGACGCCCCGCCCACAGCCGGTCATGCCTCGACGCCCCGCCCTCAGCCTGTCCCATCTCGACGCCCTGCCCACAGTCGGGTGTGCCTCCACGCCCCTCCCACAGCCGGTCATGCCTCCACGCCCCGCCCACAGCCGGTCATGCCTCCACGCCCCGCCCTCAGCCTGTCCCATCTCGACGCCCTGCCCACAGTCGGGTGTGCCTTGAGGCCCCGCCTCGACGACCTGCCCACAACCGACCCCGCCTCCACGCCCCGCCTACAACCGGTCATGCCTCGACGCCCCGCCCTCAGCCGGTCCCATTTCGACGCCCTGCCCACAGCCGGCCCCGCCTCGACGCCACGCCACGCCCCGCCCTGGCCCGTCCGCCGCGAAGCCCCCTCTTTCGGCCCGCCCCCACCGAAGCCCCGCCCCGCCCGCTTCTTGCCTAGAACGTACAGAAACCCGGCTGGGGTTTCGCCAGTCCTGAAATGGGTTGGCGCTCTCCCCGGCTGCCCGCATTCCTCCCTGCGTCAGCCTTGGCTCCGCGGTGGTGGTCCCAGCGGGCGCCGGCCGCCCGGCCCGTCGCTGCGGCGACCGAGGCCATTCCAGGGGGCGAGGCCGCCCTCCATCCTTCCCTCTCTGATGGGCGTCCAGCCGGGGGCTCCGGAGGAGCGGGTGGAGACTCGGCGCTATGCCTGGCTGCTAAGGGTGGGGTGAGGTGCACTCGCTTTTAGGGATGATGGGATCTATATATCTTTTTCTTTACACCACTTCATACCCGTTAGGATGGCTACTAGCAAAAATCTCAGAAATGAGTGTTGGCGAAGATGTGCAGAGATTGGGACCGTTGTGCGGTGCTGGTGGGAATGCATGATGGTGCAACCACTGTGGTAGACAGTATTGCGGTTCCTCGAAAAATTAAACATAGAATCACCGCATGATCCAGCAATTCCACTTCTGGGTGTACACCCGTAAGAATTGAAAGCAGGGTCTTGAAGAACATTTGTACACCCATGTTCATAGCAGCATATTTCACAACAGCCGAAAGGGTGGAAGTGACCCAAGTGTCCAACAACAAATGAATGGATAACCAAACTGTGATCTGTCTGTACAATGGGATATTATTAAGCCTTAAAAAGGGAGGAAATTCTGACACATGCTACAACGTGGATGAACTTGGAGGACATTATGCTAAATGAAGTAGACCCAAAAAGACAAATACTGTGTGATTCCACTCGTCTGAGGTACCTAGCGTGGCCAGATCATAGAGACAGACAGCAGGAGGGCGGTTGCCGGGCGCGGAGGGGCCGAAAGGGGAGGTAGTGTTTAATGGGGACGGACTTTCAGTCTGGGAACGTGAGCAAGTTCTGGAGACGGATGGTGGTGCTGGCTGCACAACGCTGTGAATGTATTTCATGCCGCTGAACTGTGCACTTAAAAATGGTTTGTAGTATTTATGTATTTGATCACAATGTTTTTTGACCATAAAATTCAAGCTTTATAAAGGTTATAGACATTATATACAATTGAATGGTCAGTGGTGGAAAAACGACTATCCCATTTTGGGCTACCTGAAGTGGAAATAACTAGCGGATTCATGGTTACTGTTGTAGCCTTGGCTTGGATTACTGGAGACAACAACTTCTTTGCAGATTGCTTTATTTTTCCTCCGAGACCCTTCTTGTATCATAGTCCTGTGCTTTCAAGTGCTGTAGCTGTGGAAAGTTCTATTACCTGCAGGGTCCTCACTGGCCCATTGGAGCTTCTTGAGTAGTAAAGGCAGTTTGGGCCTAATACAGAATATGAAAAAAGTTTATATTCTACTTTCAACATAAATCTATTATTACAGTAATTCCCACACAGAAGGAAAGTTAAATATATAATGTTTGAATTGTCTTTAATATCATTTGACTTTCAGAAATCTTTAGTGAGGTCAATATTTCCTTTTTTCTGAAATGTTGAGATTTCTTGTCAGAGATGATGAGGGTTAAATACAGTTGTCTGTACAACTTCAACACGTTACCCTATTGCTAAGCAAAAATAGTAGCACCGAGTTTTTAGGTTATTGGTGTCATGGTTTAAGTACACACATGAGAACTAGTTTTTTATGCATAACACAATTGTACAGTTTAAAAAATAACTGCCGTTTTTGTGCCACATACCTTAAGATGCATCATCTTATTTTAATCGTCACATCAACTTTATGTGCTATTGCCCCCTCATTTACAGATGAGGAAACTGAGGCTAGGAGAGGTTAGGAAGCAAGCCCTACGTTACACAGCTGAAGAGTGGCAAGGGGGAATTTCAACCTGTTTAATTTCAAAACTCAACACTTGGATTATCACAGACTGTAGAACCCACTGTAGTAGCATTAGCTCTTCTATGATTTCTTTGTAATCAGCTGCTTCTAAAATCTTAAATATTTACACTCCTATTTACACTATTATTAGAAAAACCTTTTCTTTATAACACCTGTTAAAATGTACACCAAAATACTATCTAAAACATTTTGTGAAGAAGAGCTCCTTTTCTTATTCCTGAAGCTCTAAATTCACATGATAAACCCAAAGTGAAGATTATGACTACAGTGACAAGTGGCAAACCTGCCCATCAAGACGGTGGGGGCTGGAAGTGGGTCTTATTAACCACTAACAACCCCAGGGTGTGAATGAATATCTTTCTTGGAACCAAGTTTGGATTGTCTTCTTTCTCATTTTCTATTCGGTGTCCTTTTGCTGACCTGGTTTCTGCCCACGAACAGCAGGGTGCTAAACCCACAGAGGCACACTTGGCTCTTTTCTGCGTGGTGTTGAGAGACAGGAGGTGAAGGCAAGGCCTCGGAGCCATGTGGGAAGGACAGCAGTGCTGCAGGCCTCTCATATGGGGGCAGAAATGATCTGGGAGCTTCTATTCTTTTACCATCAGCTTCCTCTCGGGCCAGCAGGAGGGAGAAGGGGGAGTGTGCACAGGAGATGCCAACCTCAGTGGCAGAGGCACGGTGGAGAATCCCAGACTGTTCCAGTCATACAAACACACACATCACCTCAATGGCCTGTAGTTGAGATATTAAATTTTATTTAAAAAAGTTCATTTAAAAAACTGTATTTTTGTCTAATATTGATCATTCAATCTCTTTGCAATTTTAGAAGCTTTAGAACACTGTTAGGATGGTGGAACAAGGGATACATTTAGAAAAGAAATCACCCAGGCCCCTCTGATGAAAGCTGGACCCTGTCCAACCTCCAATCTCCCTCTCGGCCTGGTGTGTGGCAGCTTGGTAGTGAGCCGGATGTGTGGACAGAATGGAGGAGCGTCACTGTACAGCGGTGGTCTTCTCAACCAGGGCAATTCTGCCTTTCCAAGGAACATTTGGCAGTGTCTAGAGACGTTTTTGTCACAACTAGGAGAGGGAGGAAGAGGAGAACAGTACTATTGACATCAAGGAGGTAGAGGCCAGGGATGCTTCCAACATCCTACGAGGCACACGACAGCTCCTACGACAAAGAACTACCCAGCCAAGACGCCAGCGGTGCCGAGGTTGAGAAGCGCTCCTGTGCAGCCCCACTTCAGGGCTGCAAAGGTGTGTGTCTGCTGGAGTTGAGGATTCAGAATCAGAACCAACAATAGCAAGACACCGGAATCCATTCTGACCATCACTGTACCGTTCTTGCCCTCCCTCTTGGGAGAGCCAAGCACATGGCATTTCCTTTCCGTTTAGCAAACTGCCAGCAGACGCTCCAGATGGCCCACCGGGGTTCAGTCTCCTACTCTTCCATTAATAGTTCCTTCAGGTTTCGGGTTGGCTTTGGAAGGTCAAATACTAGAGATACAACTGCCAGACTCAGAAGCTGTCCTTTTTCACTTTGTGGCACACAGAAAAAAATAAAACCGTTTCTATAGTACACTGGGGCAAACTGAGGAAACAGCTCAACGGTGATCAGCCCTGAGGCTCCAGTCACAACCAGATGTGAAGATATTAATATTCCCTGCATACTTGTTCCCTCTTCCGGACACCCAGGGTAGGTGAAAGTACCAGAATGCTAGGAAAGTACTTAGAAAATTAATCAGTTTTTGTAGTGGTCACATTTAGTAGCAATTCCTTACAACAAAAGCCTGGGAAATTCTGATGGTTCCCTCCCCCCTCTATTTTTTCCCCCTCCTTAGTACCACCCCTTAAAATCTCTTCAGTTAATTTACAAATTAACTAAATGTAAATTCAGTTAAAAATTAATTCATAACTTAATATAATAGAGAGTGCATGTAATTCTTAAAGCCTGTAGTGACTGACACAGCATTTGATACTGACATTAACAGACCCTATAATTTGGGAATGAACTGCTGTTATAATACAAAAATACTGCACAGGACTTAGAATTTTACAGTACTTTGGTTATAACAGGAGTCTATGTGGAAGAGAGCACCAAATAAGAAAGTTGATTTATTTTATGTTCTCTGAATTTTCTTTTTTCTCAAAGTCTAGGAAACTGAATGGCTAGCATGATCGTGGGTTATGGCATGAGCTGAAAGAAAGGACCTTCCTGGTTCTCTCCCTCAAAACCCAATTAAGCTCTTTTGGTTGGTGCTGGGACATGAACAGGTGTACACTTTCCTGAGAGCGGCTGTTTGTTACAGATTTCTCTTCCACTCTGCAGCTACGAAGTGCAGGACATGTTTATGCAGGCGCAGAACCCATTTCAGGGAGGAAAGAATTCTGAACGCGCCGAGGCAGCGCACTTTCCAACAGGCTATTCACCAAGTGAGGAGGCTGCTTCTGCTGCCGACGCCCTCCAGGGCTAGTTCTGGCTGACGTGGATCAAGCAGTTCAGAAGGTCTATTCTGGAACACTGGTAGAGTGCGTGGGCCAGCTTTCCCACCGTGGCCCCCTTAACGCCTTCCCTCATCAGCCACTTCTGGAGCATCTGGTAAACCTTCTCTTTGAGTCCATCTCGCTCATAGTCGTGGTCAATTTCATCAATCTGAGACTGAGTGAAGCCCAGCTTACGGGCACAGCTTTTCCAGTGCTTTCCCAGATTTTCCCTGACTGGGTCCAGGTGTTTATCACTCAGACTAGTGGTATTATCTGCCAAATGGAAAAGAGAAAAAGGTATCAAGCTATGACCCCTTCCTGAATTGCTAAAAACCCTAAGTGAAGGGTACCAGGAGACAGCGAGAAAGATAACGTCTTGATTATACAGCTGCGCACTCACTGGAAGACACTGCAAGCCTGCTCGCCTACATGGAGTCTGTGTGTGCATCAGAATAGGGCACTTCTTGCTTCTGGCAGGTGAATCCTGGCTTTGTGAACAAAACCCCTATGTGGCTACCAGGTTGGGCCTTAGCCGGTGGCCCTGTTTATATTAGACCTTTCCAGATATAAAGGGAAAAAAACACCATTTTTGTTCCTTTTGGACATTTTCCACTTACATCTGGCCAGAGTCAAGGCCACCCGACTCCTGATTCTCCTCACCCACCTGTTCAATTTCGTCTGTCTTAATCAAGGAAACTGAGACCATCAAGTGTGAGCTCATTCAATTACAATGCCTCCCCTTGTCTTTCAAGGGATGAGGTGTCTACACTCTTTAAGGTCCATTTTTGGACCCATCCCTTGCCTTACCCCTCTCCCCAGCTCTGCTGTCCCCTCTTCTTCTATAGCCAGGACCTCTCTTTCCACTAATCCCTTCATCTTAGCCCTTCATAAAGATAATTAATAAAAGGAAAAAAATACCAATACAAAACAACCGTAACAAACAAACCATATTCGTTGATCCTCCTCCTACCTCAGTAAACTAAATACAAGGAAAAAGACATCTCAGGTGCTGTGTCTCACACCTGTAATCCCAGCACTTTGGGAGGCTGAGGTGGGAGGATTGCTTGAGCCCAGGAGTTTGAGACCAGCCTGGACAACACAGCGAGACCCTGCCACTACAAATAAATAGTAATATTAAAAATTAGCCAGGCATGGTGGTATGCACCTGTAGTCCCAGCTACTCAGGAGGCTGAGGTGGAAGGATCACTTACGCCCAGGAGTTGGCAGTTACGATGAGCTATGATTGTGCCACTGTACTTTAGCCTGGGTGACAGAGCAAGACCCTGTCTCAATGAAAAAGAAAAAAAAGGAAAAAAATAATCTCATTTTTCCCCAACTCCCATTCTTTCCTCAGCCCCTATTAATGCAGCCTGTCGCCATCCCTGGATGTCAGCAGTCCAAGAATCTCCCAAGATACTTGACATATTTTGCCAACATTTCTTTAGGAGAGGGTTCCTGGGTTTTATCACATTCTCCAAAGTATCTGTGGCTCCCCAAAAAGTTAAGAATCTCTGTTATAGGTATTCTTTTTTCTTTTAATATCCCTGGGGGTAAAAGGGATGTTCTGGGTATTTTAAAGGCTACCCTTCAAATATCAGGGATTGGCAAACTACGGCCTGTGGGACAAATCTGGCCCTCTGCCTGCTTTTGTAAATAAAATCTTACTGGAACACAGCTATGGTCTTTCATGTACATACTGTCTATGGTTGCTTTTGCACTACAATGACAGAGTTGAGTAGTTCCAAGAGGGATCTCAAAGCCAGCAAATCCTAACATACTTATTAGCTGGCCCTTTAGAGAAAAAAATTGCCAATCGCAGGGTTAACCAGAAAGCTGGGTTCTTAATCACATTGTTTTGGCCTTATGACTGCTTTTTCCAGATTGTACTTTGGGATTAACGTTATGGGTCTGCATTGTAGAACCCTGTAAGAGACAGCTCTCTCGTTTTTATGACACAGTGCTGTTGAAGGCATAGCCTTCTAACTTTTACAGAATCCCCTGTGATTAGGACCTGAGGGAGCTATTTCCCCCATGTCTGAGTAGTAATATTGATGATGATGATGATGATGGTGATGAAGAAAGTTTAACACTTTTATCGACCTTACTCTGTGCCAGGCAGCATTCTAACCTTTTTACACATATCGACTCATTTAATTTTCACAACATAGCCATCAATTAGATACTGAGATTATCCCTGTATTATAAAGTAAGTAAATTACAATGGAATTACATGGAAATCACAGAGATATTTTACAGAGAAAACATGGGAAAACTTTTAGAAACAATCATCAGAGAAATTTTAAGATTCCACTATGCCCCTTTTGGCAAGTAAGAAAGTTCAAGGTTGCTAGACACTGGGTCCTTCAAGAGCTTCTTACCAAAGATATCTTCGTACTTAGAAGCTGGCTCTTCCTTCAAGTTCATGTTTGTACTCTCTGGTAGTGATGAACCCATTCCACCAATCTCCATGTAATTGTAGGCTCCAATCTGAATGCCACTACTGTTGAATACGGTGCATTTTATAGGCTCGTCTGAACAGAGAGAAACACACGAGTAAGCACTTCTAGATCAAAAGCAAGAGGAAAAATACAGCATGGTGAAAAAGCAGGGCTTTACCCCAAATGTAAAGTTAAATTAATTATCCTATGCTGCCCTTTAAAATTTTCTTCTTTAAAATGTGGCTAAACTACCTGATACCTATTAGGATGGCTACTATCAAAAAATAGAAAATAGTAAGTATTGGCAAGGACGTGAAGAAAAGGGAACTCTTTGCTCTGCTGGTGGGAATGGAAAAGCTGCAGCTGCTGCAGAAAACAGTACAGAGGTTCCTAAAAAATTAAGAATAGAATTGCCACATGATCCAGCAGTCCCAGTTCTGGGTATATACCCAAAAGAACTGAAAGCAGGGTCTTGAGGAAATATCTGTATACTCATGTTCATGGTAGCATTATTCACGACAGCCCAAAGGGTGGACACAACCCAAGTGTCCACCAGGCGATAAGCAAGATGTGGTCCATACACACAGTGGAATATGATCCGGCCTACAGAGGAAGGTAATCCTGTCACATGCTACAATATGCATGAACCTTGAGGGCATCTGCTGAGTGAAGTAAGGCACTCACAAGACAAATATCGATGATTCCACTCATACCAGGTACCCCGAGTAGTCAGATCCATAAAGAAAGCAAGTAGGATGGTGGTTGGCAGGCGCTAGGGAGGAGGAACGGAGAGGTGGTATTTAATGGGGACAGAGTTTCAGTCTGCGAAGAGGAGAAAGTCCTGGATGGATGGCGGTGGTGGTTGTACAAAAATGTGAATGTAAGTAATGGCACTGAACTGTACTTAAAAATGGTTAAAATGGCAAATTTTATGTGTATTTTACCACAATTAAAAAAAAATGTGACTGCCACTAAATCCGAAAATAGATGTGGATGAACAACACAACATGTCTCGGCCACATTTACAAGCAGGATCCTACTACCCAAACATCTGTTAGGGTCCTCCTTCTTTATACAGTACACCCAAACCTCTCACAGTTCAGTGCTCGAGGCGAGCCACAGCTTTCCCCAACCTCTCTCTGATCTTCCTTCCACTCCCCTCCCTCGCCCCAACCCGCAAAACCCAAGCCCCCCAAGGGGCCCCCCGAACCCTTAAAAGGAAGAACCGCCCCTGCCCAAACCGGTCCCCCCGCCTGGAACGCCAACCCCGCCCCCAAGTCCCCCCAACTGGGAAGTTCCGAAACAACCCAAAAAAAAATCTACCTCCTTCCAAGAGCCTGCACCCCAATCCTAGGCTCAGCACCGTGCCCTAGGCTGCTCAGTATCAGAGCTGGGTCTGTTTGGGCAGAAACCCCGTCTTCACTCATTCTGGCATTCCTTACCCTCGCCAGCTCAGGACTGAGCACGGGGCACATGGTCAGTGACATCCATGCTGAGCTGAACCTGTGAAACAGCCCTGTCACTAAAGAACATTCAGTGTGTCTTTGTAGGAGAAAGAAGGTGGCAGAGAAGACAGTTCTGAGGGAAGTCAGTGAAATTCACCTCTAGGTACGCTGGTCAGCACACTCGGCCCTCGGCAGCCCACTGGACCAGACACCACGCTCACTTTGTTGCATTTTTTCTGATGAAGCCGAGGAAACTAGGGACCCTGTCCCCTGAAAAGTGTGAGAAACGTGCGGTGCACACACTCGGCATCTGCACACTCGGCATCTGCACGGCATTCTGGGTGGTCTGTGAAGCTGCTGAAACTGAGGTCCTTGGAATCCTTCTAAAGAATCCCTGGCAACAGGCTCTCAGGTGCCCTCCAGCTCTCGGGGTTTGTCTTTTGTCGGTGTTCTTTGTTAACAGTGCTAGTAACAGGCAGCTACCCGGCATTGCACACTTACTCGGTATGTCGTCAGGCACCTCCCAGGCCACCACCTCCAGCTCACACTGACTGTCTCAGCTCAGTCTGTGTTCACCACGGGCTTACCCAGAGGTTAGGTCAGAGAGCACGCGACTCCAGCCAGGATTTTACCCCTAACCTCTGCACCCTGAAGCTTGTGTTTTTGACTCAGTGCTTTCTGCTGCCTTCCAGCCCAGATCTGGCCACTGGGAAAACCATAAAAGTTGTGAAATGGAGAAACTAATGCAATATTAGAAACACACAAGGACTTGTAATACACACACTTTCAGTTGTAACATTTTCATCTATAACTGAGGATGATGAACCCTGGAGAGGCAAAACGATGTGTACAAAGTCACCAAGATAAATGAGAGGCACAAACAGGACTAGAACTCGGGTCTCCTAACTCTCAGTCCAGTGAGCCTTCCTTTTCCGACCTCACTTGAAGCAGCGCACTGAATAAAAAATAATGTTCCTGGGAGCTACTACATCGAAGTGAAGAAATATTTATTTTCCTTTTGTAATTACTGGATAGACAAACCCTCCATATATGGCATGGCAAATTAGAACACTCACATTTGGTGCAGAGTTAGGACTATTTGACAAGAATGAAAGCTACAGAAGAATCAGTTAAATTTGCAATGTGAAACTCAACTTGTTCATTTGCTAAATCAGTATTTAGCAGGATCATCTTTTCGGGCAGAAACACAGATAATTCTATTACTTATTGTAGCTCTAAGTCTACTGTCCCCCACTGACAGCATCTCAGAATTAGTAAGGGGTTGGATCCCTATGTATCTGTCATTGGCAGAACCAGGTACCAGAGGGAGAGTGAGAACAGAAGGGGATTTGTGGCACCAGACTGGTATGCTTGGGTCACTCTGCAGAGACAGGATCAAAAATGATACATTAGGCTGGGCGTGGGGGCTCATGCCTGTAATCCTAGCACTCTGGGAGGCCAAGGCGGGAAGACTGTTTAAGCTCAGGAGATCGAGACCAGCCTGAGCAAGAGCAAGACCCCGCCTCTACTAAAAATTAGAAAGAAATTAATCAGACAACTAAAAATATATAGAAAAAATTAGCCGGGCATGGTGGCGCATGCCTGTAGTCCCAGCTACTCAGGAGGCTGAGGCAGAAGGATCGCTTGAGCCCAGGAGTTTGAGGTTGCTGTGAGCTAGGCTGACGCCACGGCACTCACTCTAGCCCAGAAAAAAGAGTGAGACTCTGTCTCAAAAAAAAAAAAAAAAAAAGACACATTAAATATTGGTTTATGGTCTGCCTTCCATCCACTAGGATTTAAGCTCCATAAGGGAAGGGACTCAGGCTGTTTGTTCACTGTTGTATCTCCAGTGACTAGAAAACTGCCTGGCACAAAGTGGGAAGTGTTTTAGAAATTTTTATTAAATTACTCATGAATGAATAAAATGATATGGCAACACTAAAGAAAAATTTTATTCCCAGACACAAAGGAAACAAAAGTACATTTCACTCATATGATTATATATGATTTAGATTCTGCTTAATACCTAAATCCAATATTTAGTACTCCATAGATCTTACAATAAAACCTATGGGGCGAGGCATGGTAGCTCACACCTGTAATCCTAGTGCTTTGGGAGGCTGAGGTGAGAGGATTGCTTGAGGCCAGGAGTTTGAGACCAGCCTGGGCAATGTGGCAAGACCCTGTCTCTAAAAAAAATTTCAAAAATTAGCTAGGTGTGGTGGTGCATGCCTGTAGTCTCAGCTACTGAGGAGGCTGAGACAGGAAGATCAACTGGGTGACAGAGTCAGCAGAGTGAGACCCTGTCTCAAAAAAAAAAAAAACAGAAAAAAATCCAGAATGTTGCCAATGAAGATTTTAGAGAATTTGGCCTTTTTGAAAGAAAATGTGACTAAGCTCTACGGTTCTCAAAGCTTCCTCTACTGAAGTTGATTTTAAGATTTCCAGAACACAGGTGGGCATCTTTCATAGATGTCATTCAGGTAGTTAAGGTGGTATTGGTAAGTATTGTTTGATAATGTTGCTAGAAATTAAATGAAATTACTTTCACTCTAGAATGTCGGTAACGACTATCACCTAGCTTTTACTTCACCTGACAAAATATGGAAATTGAAAGAAAATTTTTCATCACAAATGACAGTCTTTGTCCTATATAAAAAGAAATAAAAATATCCAAGACTTATTTCTTACCTTCAAAAACCAGCAAGCAAGATAAAAACACAGAAGCAGATGTCTTCCCATTTATCAGAGACTGAGTACAACAGGACTGCTGTGCCACTCAGGTTATTGTTGAAGACGTTCAGCAGTCATAACAACCCATAACCCAACGCTCATGGGCAGCTGCCATGAATCCTAGACCAAAACTGAAATACTCCCAGACCAAGCGGTCTGACAGAGCTCATTCCACAGTGGCAAATTGCGTCTGGCATCTAAAAACTCTGAACTTGTCCTTTTTCCCCATCGTAACTTATAGGCTACAAGAGAGCTGATAAATGTCTTATTTTCAGAAAAATAAAAAAAGGATAAGATTGTGACTATTAAAGATCTGTTTACCTGTTGGTGGCAGGGAGATGAATGGAATGGTCGGTGTGTTTCCTAGCACGTTGGTCTCGGGCACTGGAGTTTTATACAGATTAGGTATATGGCTTGAATTTGGCCCATACCAAATTGGACCTGCTGTTCCTGGATCCAATGGTCTTGTTCCAAAACCATGTGGACTATATAATCCATTGTTCCAGTATGGTACTTGGGGCTGGCTGGTTGGCCCTGCTGGTGCGTGCGCTGCATTACCATGACTGGGTGCGCTGGGGTAAGCAAAGCCCTTTGCCCCTGCATTGTGAACATTCTCATAAGGTCTCTGCCGTGCAAAAGGGTCATGGGAGACCCTTCGTCTCTTTTCCTCCTCTCTGTCATAAGCCACATTCTGTCTGGGCTGCTGATTCATCTGCCTGTCCATGCGACTGCCAAAAAGATGGTAGTTGGCTTCCTCCTGGAGTTTACTCTGCAGGCTGGGTATCTTCTCTTCTTGCTGGTACTCCAGGGAGGGAGCAAACCAGGACTCTTCCACAGGACCCATCCCGAGTCCCTGGGAACTGTGCAGTGAACTGGGTTGCTCTGTGGCTGACAAGAAATGATCAACACTGGAATGGGTTTCGTGAAACAGCAAAAAGTAAAATAAAACCTGAGCACCATCATGAATCCGTACCTCAGAGTAACATACTGAAAACAAGTAAGAGACAAGCAGAAAGCATTTCGGAGGTGGTCTTCCTCTGCAAGCTTTGCAGATAACAAGTAGGAGCCCCTGGCTGGCAGCAAGAGAGCACTAGGGAAATTATAACAAGCAAAAAGAAAATGCGAGCGTCACAGGGATGACCAAGGAAGAGGGGGACTTGGGTTGAGGAGGAGTTTGTCTCCTTGGAGTGACTCAGGGTGGAAAATAAGAATCACAGCAGCTCTGTCCTAAGCACTTTCCATGGATTCTTTCATTCTTTAAAAACCTTCTGAGGGTGGGAGCAATTATCACGATTTGATGGGTGAGGTTTAGAAGAGGTAAAGTTACATGCTCCAGATCAGACAGCTAATAAGTGGCTTCAATATCATATACTCCGCCTTCCCTTTTGTTGTAATGACAAAAATACCCCTGCTTGAATCTGAGACCGGCCCCTCTGCTTGTGCTCCAGATCTAGTCACCTCCATCCTCCTCAGGGACTTTGCTTCCACATATGTCCTCTTCTTTCTCCTGAATTGTCACTTTTCCCTATCAGATATATTATGCCTCTTATGTGCAGGATGCTCTATGATTTTGGTGAGCACACTGTTACTTAATAGTTCAAATATATGTAACTTGACTCACAAATATTATTATAAATTCCTTTAAAGGGGTATTCGCTTTTATAGTTTCTTCTGTTTCCCATATGGTCCCCAATAGTATTTTAGAGAGTTGAGTAAATGAATGAGCAAACATATAAATGAATAAATAGATTTTGACCATAGTGTAAGTTACCTGAATTTGACCTGCTTGGAGGTATTGCCACACAATCAAGTTGGAGAGATTGCATTCTCTTTACAATTGCATTTTGTTCCGGATACTCTTTCTATAATTAGGAGCATAAATACACACTTTAGTATACAGCAGAAAATATTCAGTTCCAGAAAATTATAATGAGAAGAATGAATTCTTTTCAGAAGGTAGAAATTCCATACAGATCTTGCAAGTAATAAATATTAAAAAAAAAAGTTTTTCCCAAATGGCCAAAATGATCTTAAAAAAGAAGAACAAAGTTGGAGGACTCATAGCTCCTGATTTCAAAACTTATTGCAAAGCTACAGAAATCAAAACAATGTGGTACTGGCATAAACATAGACACATAGGTCAATGGAACAGAATAAAAATCCCAGGAATAAATTCTCCCATATATGGTCAATTGATTTTTGACAAGGCTGCCAAGACCTTTCAATGAGGAAAACTGAACAAACACACACAAAAAGATGAAGTTGGACCATTACCTCGTACCATATACAAATATTAACTCAAAATGGATCAAAGACTTAATTTAAGAGCTAAAACTATAAAACTCTTAGAAGAAAACATAGGGGAAAATCTTCATTACACTGGTCTTGCCAATGATTCTTGGATATGACACCAAAAATACAGGCAACAAAGTAAAAACAGATAAATTGGACTACATCAAAATTAAAATCTTTTGTGCATCAAAGGACACTGTCAATAGAGTGAAAAGACAACCTACAGAATAGTAAAAAAAAATCACAAATCATATAGGTGTGATGAGGGATGAATATTCAGAATACATAAAGAACGCCTACAATTCAACAACAAAAAACAATCCAATTCAAAAATGGGCAAAGGACTTGAATACCCATTTCTCCAAAGAAGATATACAAATAGCCAATAACCACATGAAAAGATGCTCAACATCATTATCCATCAGGGAAATGCAAATCAAAACCACCATGAGATACTGCTGCATACTCATTAGAATAGCTATAATTAAAAAAAAAACAGAAAATAACAAGTATTGATGAGGATGTAGAGAAATTGGAATCCTTGTGCACTGATGGTAGGGAATGTAAAACGGTGCAGCTTCTATGGAAAACAGTTTGATGGTTCTTCAAAAGTTAAACACAGAATTACCATATGATCTTGCACTTCCCCACGCCTAGGTACATACCCCAAATAACTGAAAGCAGGGAATGGTACTTATACACCAATGTTCATAGCAGCATCATTCACAATAGCCAAAAGGTGGAAACAGCCCAAGCATCCATCAACAGATGCATGGATAAACAAAATGTGGTACAAGTTGAGTATCCTTTATCTGAAATCCTTGGGTCCAGAAGTGTTTGGGATTTCGATTTTTTTTGGATTTTAGAATATTTGCATATACATAATGAGATATCTTTGGGATGAGACCCAAGTCCAAACATGAAATTCACTTACGTTTCTTTTTTTTTTATTATTTAAATAGAGATGGGGTCTCACTATGTTGCCCAGGATGGTCTCGAACTCCTGGCCTTAAGTGATCCTCCTGCCTCGGTCTCCCAAGTACTGGAATTACAGGTGTGAGCCACCATACCCCACCTCATTTATATTTTATACACACCTTATACATATAGCCTGAAGATAATTTTATACAATTTTTTAATAATTTTGTGCATGAAACAGTCTGCGTACATTGAACTATCAGAAAGCAAAGGTGTCAGGTGCAGAATTTTCCACTTGTGGTGTCATGTTGGCTCTCAAATGTTTCATGTTTTGTAGCATTTCAATTTCAGATTTTCAGATTAGAGATGCCCAACCTGTATATCCATACAGTAGAATATTATTGATCCATAAAAGGAAATAAATTTCTGACACATGCGATAAAATGAATAAACTATGAAAACATTATACTAAGTACAATATGCCAGACTCAAAAAGAAAAGTATCAGGTGATCCTATTTCTATGAGCCACCTAGAATAGGGAAATTCAGAGACAGAATATAGAACAGAGATTACCAGGGGCTGTGGGAGGGAGGAATGGGCAGTTGGTGTGTAAGGGGGCCAGAGTTTCAGTTCGGGATGGTAAAAAAGTTCTGGAGATGGATAGCGGTGATGGGTGCACAACCCTGCGAATGCACTTAATGCCAATGAATTGTACACTTAAAAATGGTTAATAGTAAACATTATGTTATGCGTATTTTACTACAATAAAAAATAATTTTTTTCCTTATAGAAGTA